CGGGCATCGGTGTTGGAGAAAAGAAATCAACGAATCCGTCCCATCCATCGTGACGCATAATCCAAACTTCCAGATACCGATCGACGAAACGTACGGTCCAGCAAGGTACGTTGGCATTGCCCTGCTCGCCCATCTTTCCGCAGAATGTCAACAGGGTGGCGATTCTACCCCACGTAACGAACATATTGTTGTTGTCTTCGTCGTCATTCAAGAAAACTTGTTTTGCAATGTATTCGAATTGTTCGAAAGTTTCTATTTTCAAATTATCGCAAATAACTTTAAAGAATTCCATATTATTTTCCTCGATCTCGGTACATATTCTTCCCATCGTCGCAGTAACATCACACGATGCGGATTTCAATCGAAGAGGAAGATGAGGAGGTGGAGAAGCAGCAACAGCAGCACATCTGCCGTCAAAATAATCTCGTACGTGCTCGCGGGTGTTGTTCATCATAGACGGTAAATCTTCCATCGTGATCTCCATCATTAATGTAGTGTCGACTTACAAAATGAGAAGGCACTATATACACACGCAAACGCACACACGATGGTTCGGCGTAGACCAGCTGTGTCGAAGACGGTAATCGTGGTAAGCATCGCGACCGTCACCGTAATTACGTTAGCTGTTGTGGTATCCGTTGTAATATGGACGCCGGATTCGAACCTGACAGCGGTAAACGTAACGAAGGCAATAACTTCGTCTCCCACGACCACCACCTCAGGGTGATATTGGTAATAGTGTTGATTGCCTGTTGTATCGCGGTGCTGGCCACGTTCTTCTTCGGATGGAGAGTCGAATGCGACGATAGTCGTTGCGGTGTCAAAGGTTCTTTGGAATCCGACAGCAAGTCCAAATACTGCGTGTGCCTCGAAGGATTCACGGGACCGGTGTGCGAGCAGGTGGAAGAGAAGCCGATGGGCAAAGTGGACTGCGCGAAATGCGTAGATAACGGTGGCAAATGCCTATATTCGGACTTGACGGATGACATCTACTGCGTCTGTTCCCACGATCGATACGGTACGGTTTGCGACCACGCGTACGAGGGGTTGACTCGAACGATGTTGGCGTACGTCAAAGCATGCGTCGACGACACGTGATGATGACGACGTGCGTTTGGTGGCAAGTACATAAAATGGGGTGGTGAGAGGAGGAGGGCTCAATATGGATTCCGTTAGTGGATGCGATGTATCTTATATTACTATTTCAGCTTTTTTGCATCGTCGTCGTCGTAGTATTCCCGATGCCGACGGAAGACGTAACGCCTTCGGCGAAAGAATTCTACGACGATTCAGCGACAAGAATCGGTATTACGCACATATCGGAAATACTTGTCATGGCCGAGTGGCCAGCTCTTTTGGTCGGCGCGAGTAACTCGCAGTTCGCATTCGATCTGAACGAAGGGTTGGACGTGTCAGCGGCAACGAAATTGGAATGGATACCGGACTCGATGTCGATGGAAACGTGCTATCTAAAAGGAAAAGAAGAGGAGGATTGCCAGAATTACATCAAAGTTATAACGCCAGATGCAACGATCGGGAACCTGCTCGTTTGCGGAACCTACGCGCAGAAACCGAGATGCGTTATTCTGAATGGGAAGGAGGTCGACACGTGGAATCTAGCGAATCTCGGTTACGCTTTCCATAGGATGACGGCCAAGCTGTTTTGCGAACGGTTGCGCTGGTACCTGTCTCTTATACATCACGGAGAAGATGTACTATTCCCGAATAGCCCGTGTTTGTACCCAGGACAGAGGCGGTAATAGTGCGATACTCGAATCGACGTGGACGAGATTTTTGAAAGCGAGACTAGACTGTTCGTTTCGCGGAGATTTCACCTTCCACTTTAACTACTTGCAGGATGTCGCGAGAGTTGTCGAAGGGAAGAAGATCTTCTATTACGCAATCTTCACGACCGGAGATCACGAGATGCCGGCTTCCGCGGTGTGCAGATTCGACCTCGACCACATCAGGGACAATTTCGACAACGGTCTACTCAAGCTGACCAAGTGTCCGTGGTCGCCGATCGCAGACTCGCAGCGGGGCGGTTGTTCCGCATCCGATTCGAGGCGGCTCTCGCACGATAATCTAAATTTCATCAAATCGCATCCGTTGATGCACGAACCGATCGTAGGGGAAGATCGATCATCTAAACCTGTCTCTTATACACATCTAGTTACGCTCGTTCGAAAACGCTACAGATTGAAGACGTTGGTGGTGAGGACGAGCCAGCATCACACCGTCGTTTTTGCAGGAACGGACGACGGCCGCGTCTTGAAATTGGTTGAGAGACGGGAATCGCCATCTGTTCTGCTGTACAACGTGCGCGTGATCGGACAACCGATCACGAACATGAGATTGTACGAGAGCCGAAATGTCATATTCGTGACGTCGAAAGATTTTCTCGTGGAAATGTCTACGCAACATTGCAGCCAATTGAAGAACTGCTCCTGCAAGCAAGAACCAATTGCAGTTTTGATCGACGGCAATTGCACCGAATCGACCGACAAAGATCACTCGGACGTCGAGCTCGACTGTAACGATTCGATCGAACACCACGACTGTAAAAAACAGATCGAATACCGCTCCGGCGTCAAGCTCGAATCCGGTCTCGAACCCGGTCTCGAACCCGGTCTCGAATCCGGTCTCAAATCCGGTCTACATTCTTCGTATAACGTTGCTGAAACGGAAGATTCGACGCCGAAGTTAGCCGTACTAGCCCTAGTCGGTTGGGCGATTTGTTTGGCAGAAATGGCAGCTATCGTTTGCTGGTGTCTGATGCGGATCCGTTTTCTCAAATCTAAAGAAATAGATCGTCCATCATCATCATCATCATCATCATCATCATCATCAACACCACCAACACCACCACCACTACCACAGTGAATTTTCTGTGTTTTTTGTTTTTGTTTTTTTTTTGTAATAAAACAAATATATACATGTATATCTGTGCCTTTTTGTTTAATTTGTCGTTGAAAAAGGGGAACAAACAAATGGGCGTCAAACTCGCCCTGCTGGAAACCGCGTACAGATGGTTACCGTTTCACGCGTACTTTCCGATAGCGATCATCGTCGCTCTTCTGTGTCTGGTCGGCAGCTGGATGATAGTTGCATCGAGGGAGATCACGGGTCGGGTGTGCCACGTTCTCTACGAAATCACGAAGGTCGTCAAGCACCTCATCATCAACAAAGGTATGAGAGAGAAAGCTCAGGAGAGCATGGAACGTTTTCAAGCGCTGTGACACACGATAGACGGACGCGACAGTTTCAGAACGTGGGCAAATATTCTCGGTTACGCTTTCCATAGGATGACGGCCAAGCTGTTTTGCGAACGGTTGCGCTGGT